CACAGGAGAGAGGGGGAGGTCTATCAGTCTGGAGGAAGAGCTGGCTTTTCCTAATGCACCCATGATGTCCTGAATTCTCATGGTGGCCCTGATGTCACCATACCACAGCCATTAGAGTTTGGTGAAATTGATTCCAGTACCACTACTCCCCACCCACCAAGTACTCAGGGCTTTTCTCAGAACCCAGAACTACCCCCACAGTAGGCTTCTCAACATTCTGTCATCACACCTTAGTAGCTTTTGTGACCTGCCTCTAAAACATTTTGCTCTAACATAATGAGAGTGTGTGCAATAGAAAACAATTTTTGATTTGGAGTCAGCAAATTTAGCCCAAATCCCTCGTTGTTGCCTACCACCCAGGCAACTTTGAACAAATTTCTCAACATGACTTTTAGATTCTTATCCCATAAAATGTTAATGATTACAGTATTGACTACTTCACAGATGGTAATTGAATTAAAATGAGATCAAATGAAAACCGTGTTGTAAATCGTAAACTTTATATAAATATAAGATGTCATGAATCTGCCACTGAAAAGCACCCCACCCCCCCACATATACCACCACCACCCAGCAAAACTGACTTTTCCTGAGAACAGAGTCATGGAACATAGGCAGTAATGGAAATACCTTAAATATTATAAAATTCCATTCAAAACGTTCACCTGAAAGAAAAATCTATAGTAATTCATGTTTATATGGTGTATTATAATGTGTTTTATAGCAAACATTATCTCTTTGGTTCTCACAATTGTTCTGTGAGGTGGTCATTATTATTGCCATTTTGCAAATGTGGAAACTGAGCCATCGAGCAATAAAATGACTTGTCCGAGGTCACACAGCCAGTAAAGGTTAGCACTTCAGCTTAGCCTGAGCCGTCCAAGTTCTCCTAGGCTCTTTCAACTACACCACACTCTTTCAAAGTAGTGAGTAGTCTGTCACTGTATAACAAGAATTTTCGAGAACACTTAGGGCCAATTGACTCAGATGGTAAAATAGGAGAAGTAGGAAACTACTTTCTTAAATTGAGTTTAATGCTTCTATTTCTGGAACAGTTTTGATCCTCCACACCTTGAAGTTGTCGAGATGAGGGAGTTTCTTGTTTTAACTTTAAATGTCTATACTCCTGCATAAATAAAGAGAGCCTTCAATAGCTAACATCTCAGGGACTATCCAAAGAAAGCTAAGGGCTTGCTTTCTCTGCCAGAATCATTATACATTATTAAACTGTAGAACACTCATTATAAGCAACAGTTTTATGAAAAAGTTCCAATACCCCAAATCTATCACTCCTTAAAACTGCTGCTTATGGAAACAAAAGTACTAGATATATTTGAATTTTGTAATCACAGACAATGGGGTCTGTGATACGGTCATTGATTACATTTGAGCCCAAGAGGTAGTATGTACAGATTGCTGATCCTGTCTCGAATTCACACAACAATCAATACAAAGGCTGAATAATGCTAACATTTAGAGTTATCTTGGATTGTGAAGGTTTCTGTTTGTGATTTTAGAACAATGCCTTGGCATGAGAGCAAAACACCACTTTTATACTCCCTTGGGCTAAAGAATTTTCAGTAGCTGGTGCTTCTGGTCTGACTTCCCACTATCAGCTTTTATACCTCTTGATTACAACTTGTCCTCACAAGTGAAGCAGTATTTGATCGGTGGCAAGGGACGTGCCTTCAAGACAGTCCTGCTCGTGATTGCTTTCCTCTTCAGCTCAGCAAAGAGCAAGAGCCGTGGAGTGCAGAAGTAGCACTCTTTTCTCCAAGCAAGAAGGAACTTGCAAAGACAAAAGGGCGGAGATTCATACACCTGTAAGGTAAAAGCCAACGAAAAGGAATCGAAGATCACATTCTTCATCTCTCAAGCACCATGTCTCACCCTGCACACAGAAGACCAGAATACCATAAAATAGTAAGATCTTTTTTGTAAACATATTCTCAAAGAGGCTTCTCTTCTACTTCGAAGAAAATATATTCTTGAGGGATTTCTGGTTTATTTTAAAAAGTGACACTATAGACATTTTTCAGTGGGAGCAAGGGAGTGTTTGGTGGATTGGATCATAAATGATACCTCTGGGAATAGTACAGTGATTACTATAGAGAACACTCTATAACAGAATCGATTCTTTATGCATAGTTTAGGATATGCATATCCTCTGACTAATTAGATCTATAAAGTGCAATATGTATCTTTTGTCTCTCACAGAAAATATGAAAAGATTAAGCAATTCTTCATATTTCATACTTATATTCTTTGTATTTCATACTTCGTGAACTAGCAAGTGAAATCTATATAAAGTAGTTGATTACGTGTTAAATTAGCAGGAATAGATCAGCAAAAAAACTCAGTATTAAAAGATTATTGCTTTTGAAAATATATTTCCTTGCCTTAATTGTAAGTATCTATTATTATAATTTTGTATGTGCTACTATCCTTTCTGTGTATTCCAAGCTCAGAGTTATTTTCAAAGCTTATTTATTTAGAGATTACATTTGGAGAAATATTCTTCTTTAATCCTCTCATTAGACATTTAGAAGTTACAGAAATGAAAATTTATCATTACACTTAAAGCCCTTTTAATTATTTCAGGAAACTGATGAGCATTGAATAAAATTAAGGAATCTCAGTTATGGGTACATGGAATTGAATGATAACTGGCACACCCTAGTTGGGAATGCCTGCAGGTGCCCCCTCTGGCATTCTGAGACCCTGACTGATTTTTCTGTGGGGCCCTGAAATACTAAAAGATATTGTAGATTTCATACTGCACCTAAATCACTTCATTTATATATCGGCTATAACACACTTTTATCCTGATATCTCCAAAACCTTAAATAACTAATGGTGTTCTGTTCTTCATATGTGAAAATGACTGTCTTTATTGTTTTATAAACTGTGAAGATAAATTTTATGTTGGCCTTTTCTGTGATCAGTAGTATAGATTTAGGACCCTCTAAACATGTAGTTCAAGGTTCAGCCTTTTACTAGGAAGCAGAATGGAAAAAACTGGCCCTCATGGGTATTGAACTTGAAACCCAGCTGCAAGTACAGTATAGTTAGTATTCACCCATCAGAATAAGAGAGAAAGAGAAAGAAGAAAATGCCATGATTTCAGGATGGTCATAATTATAAATGAGTACAATGCTGAGGCTCTGACATGTCAATAGGGTATAATTTTATTTCCTTGTATCTCTTCTTCACATTCTTTTGTTTTATTGCTTGTGGTAACAAATACATTGTCAGTCTTTCTGTCTCTCTTTCCTTCACTGATGCTCATTTTCATGCTATGGTATTACCACATAGCAGTAATTTATCTTCTGTGGTGGCTCTTTATGGTAGGAAGATATTTCATGTATAATTTGCAGACATTTCTTGTAGTGGATGATTAGGTTTTTAGATTAAATAAGAACAGAATAAAAATTGAATACATTGTGACCCTTCAGTGATTTTGTTTAACAATATTTTTTGTTAAAATCACCTGCTTTGCATATCTTGTTTTCTACTAGAAATATTAATGCACTTATTATTTTCTTATACCTGACTCATATGTGTTAGTTCTTGATGTAATGTCAATTAATGTATTTAATGTATATTCTACAGACACTTAGGACATTTTATATAATTCATGTGCACATATGGACACAACTTTTCACTATAACTATTTAGATTCTATATATTTAAAATTTATTTAGTTATAACAAATATTCTGTCTGATTAAAGAAACATTTCTTATGATATAAAGCTATATATAAGGAAATGGACTCTGGTGGTACTGGGCAAATTTTGGAAGTATTTGGATCAAATTATATCATATTTAATAGAAGCTATTTTGTTGAATAAACAATTCTATTGATTTGTTGAGCCATTTCTTCCTGTGCCTTAAAAAAAAAAAAAAGAATATATCTTACCAGATCTAATTTTACCCTCCATGTTATACTACCCAAGATACCTAGGTCTAGAGGTAAAGACACCTCTTCTAACCTGAAATTCACATTTAGCTTTTCATGAAAATACAAGAGTATGCACAAAATAAGATTATTTTCAACAGTGTCTCTCCTCCCTCCCTCCCTCTCTCACCCTCCTCTACTTCAAATAGGTCTTTTATGCGCCTCCAAAATAATTGCTATGTCAGAGTGGAGCCTGCAGTCTCCGGCTCCTCCCCGGCTCAGCCAGCCAATGGCTAGTTGAGCAAGTCACCCATTCCTCATAGGGCCTCATTCCCTCCTCTGTAGGACTGAGAGCATTGGAATAAATTCTCTCTGATAACTCCATTCCTTACTTAGTATTCAAGACCAGAAGCAAAACTGAGAGACTTTTTAAAATGGATTGATTGAGTCTTGTGTATTCTGTTTACCCTATTTTCTACCTATCTACACTAAACCAAACCTAAATTATTCTTAGTTGTTCTCATATTTAGTTCACTGAAAATAGGACATATTTTGGAGATCTATAAGGAAACTACACATTCTCCTTTTTTCACTAAGTATAAAGAAAACAACATCTCACAAATTTGCTGCTCTGGTTGGGTTTATCCTGATGGTCTCCTTGGCAGATCTGGAGCCCATTAAGGATTGTGCATACTCATGAGAAGTCTCACCCAGTTAGTTATTCCTTCCAACTGAAACATGGTTGGCTGATACCAAAGCCAATTCTAGAACAAAAGAAATTTATATTAGCAATTATTTTTTTTAAAAAACTTCCTCCATGAAAACACATTGCAAGTTATAAAATGTAAATAGATGCATAGAAAGATTTTTCCTGTTAAGAAATTTATTTTATTTTATAGCTTTTTCTCATCAGCAATGTATCCAAATATGGATACAACTTGCTCTCAAAAGTCAAAATTATTGTAATAATTAGTAGGAAGTTAGAAAAAATGAACAGCTGATCTCAAAGCCTGCTTCCACTGGAAAATTTTGTTAAAAAACAAGGGTAGCTTGTCATCCATAGCTTTGAATATAAAGTAAAACTAATCCTTTTTTCTCTAGAACAAAGATCTCTTTGTCCTCACCTATGGAGCTCTGGTTGCCCAACTGTGTAAAGATTATGAAAAAGATGAAGATGTGAATAAATATTTAGATAAAATGTAAGTAGAAATCTCATATTCTCATGGAATGTACGTTGTTTCTTAGCATCCTCTGCATTTTGTCCACCTCTAACGACTTTGCTTGCTCCACTTTCCCAGGTCTTCTTTTATTTCAATAAATCACATTTTAAAGCTGCACATAATTTCTGACAACTGCCATTTGGGTTGTCATAAAGTATAAAGTAACAGGAAGGAAACTTTTCTCAATGAAAATCAAGCCTGGAACATTTTCTTTTTAGTTAGAAATCATTTCGTTGCTAATCACTTATAAGCAAAGGTATGATAAAACCGAGATTGTTCTTTCAACAATGTGATGGATCATCAAATTTGATTATTTTCAGAAGTCTTTTGTTCTAATAAGACTCCTTCTAACATAGAAATATATGCTTACATAAGTATAGACCATGTACAAAAAATTAATAATGGTGATTGCCTGAGAGAACCTGGAGACGGGGATTATGGGTAGAAGAGAGACTTTTCCCTAGGTAGTGTTTTCATTGTTTGAATGCTTTTACCATTGTTATGCTTTACTTAAAAATATATTAAACGGAGAAACCCACTCCTTTCTTTTAAAATAAAGTCCATTCTCCTTGTCTTCATTAATGGAGATTCCGTCATCACAAATTTAGCCTTTAATTTTCTCAGAATAATTATATGACATCAGGTTATTGCTCAATAATATCTGTCAACGTTTTTGGAACCTCTTAATTATGGATACTGAAAAGGACTCTAACTGGGCAGTGACTGGAAAACCTGTACTAATTAGAAGATTTAGTTAGAAAGGTCGAAGGGGAAATCTAGCCTCATTGAGCATTTTAGGGCTTCTGAAAAGGGTTCGTTGTGTTTTGAGGTGGAAAACAGAAAAAAAAGGAAAGCTTGAAAGGTTTTTTTCTTTTTAACCCTAGTTTCCTCCCTTTTCATGCTTATTCTTTTTCTATTGGAAAGCTCTTTTTCATTATCTTGTGTTTATTTTGGTTCATGTAAGTTATTTTTCATTTCCTTTTAATTGGTCGGGAGATAAAGTGTCTGGAAGAGTGGGAGTTGCTTAACCTATTTTACACTGAAGTCATACTTCAATATGTGATACAGTATTTCCAGAGTATACTTCATTTTATGTAGCTTATGTTAAATTTACATTGTTTTGTGGAACAGATGTAGAAAATGAAGAAACTCATTTATCTGACTAAAAAATAGTATCTTGATTAGCTACTTGGGTGCACAGTTTAACAAAGATGAATGAAATATTAAAGAATAAATTCTGAGAAGCTACAGAAAGGCATTGCTGTAAGAAAAGCAATAATTCACATTTGGATTTCTTTAATAGCTTCTGCTGAAAACATCTTACATTTTTAATATGATATATAAACTATCTACTTTATGGAAACATACCCTTGATCAAAGCAGGATGTGTGTGTGTGTGTGTGTGTGTGTATGTGTCGTGTGTATGGATATGTGGGCGTTATATGTGTGTATGTGTAGAGTGTGTATATATGTGTGTGGTGAGTATATATGTGCATATGTGTAGTCTGTATATGTCTGTGTGTGTAGTATATATAAATACATATATGTGTATGTGTGTGTATACATATGTGTGTCTGTGTGTGTATATACATATACTACAATGACTGTAACATTTTGACTTTCTATCACTTCTCACTGTCCAAGGCTGTGGATATGCATAAAAATTAGAAAACACTGGAAACATTTTTTAAAATTCAGTACAACCGCTCCCGTAAAGTTCATGTTCTGTTCTTCAAAAGCTTTTTAGTGTGAACTTTCTAACTAGAATCACAAAACAGTTTTCTCAGAAGGCAAGTAAGCCAAATTGAATATTTCTATCTACTGAGTAATATAGAGTATCTCATAGATTTTGGGAATTAATGAGCACTCTGACATTAAATCTGTATCCCCCGCAACCACCCCATTACTAAATACCGCCCCCACTTTTAGACCCTATGGAACAGACATTCCCTTTATACACCATGCTGCCTTTATCTTGGTGGCCTTTCTATTATTGCTGAGTTCAAATCATTTCACTTGTCTATGTACATGTGGTTGTGAATTTTAAAGACCAATTTTGGGCCAGTTGGTTAGTGAAAGCAGCCTCTTCCTTCTTATTTCCACCAGTAAGGTCATATTTCCTCAGCTACATAGAAAGTTCTAAGGTCTATCTTGTTGAAGGTGTCTGCTTGGCCACCTTAGCCACATATTCAGCTATATCATGATCTCTCAATAAAATGCTTTTGAAACTGTACTTGTACTACCCAATCTATTCACTGTAGGATAGAGCTATCAGATAATATAAATACTTTCTCCCAAGTCCCATAGATCCAGTTTCCCTAGAATGAAAAATGAATTTTCTGAACATCATTTTTTTTCTTTTTGCTAAACTTCAGGGTTCTAACCACAGAAACCAAGAATTGATTTTACCTTTCCCTTCTTCCTCTCCTTCCAGAGCCCATCATGGATATGCCTGTCCTCTTACCATGATAACTATGCTATGAGAAGAATGAGCATCTAGGTACCACACCTAGAGCAGACAACAAGTTAGCTAGATCATCGTTGTTTCCATCTACAGCTAATGATGAGAAAGTTAGTTGCCAGTAAGAAAAATTAGGCTACAAACACCAACTTCCCTTAACTTTAATCTATGCTGTCAAATCTGGGCCAGTATACCTCCTCAGGCTTCTCTGCTTATAGGAAACTAGTTAAAATTTCCCAGATAATTGCTTTGTGCTTCTGTGGTCTGTAAGACAAATAAGGAGCCTACTGCTAAATAGCCATTAGACTTGTCAAGTTTGCTTTACTTTGTTATCCATTGATGCAAGTGCTAAACCGATTACTCCATTCTTAAACATTGATAGAGTTCCCTACTCCAATATTATTTTCAGACCACACTCTTTTCTTGACCACAGGGGATACAGCATTGGAACACGGCTAGTGGAAGATTTTTTGGCTCGATCTTGTGTAAGAAGATGCCACAGTTATTCAGAAATTACAGACATAATTGCCCAGGTAAGCACATTTTTAGCTCTTTCAACATGTTTTTAAAAGCTTTGACTTGTCCTCAGTTCTGTGGTTTTCTTCCCTGATTAGATAGGTTCTATCTGTTTTTATCATTAGGTGCTAAGAGATTCTGATCGAAAAGAATTTTATTTTGGCATGGGGATAAAGCTATTGTGAACAGAGATAAATGCTTTTAGGCATTTAAGCGTCTATAGATTTTTCTGAACACGTGGTGTGTGCAAAGTGTATGTCCCACACTGGGAAAAGTGTTTTGAGAGGTAAACAGAAAGGGAATGTAATAGGGCAACCTCATAATATGCATGCCCCAAACCAATTCCTTTGTATAATCATTTTAGCGCATGGAGGAAATAGTCTTTTGCTGTCTCATAGAATATTGTTTTAGCCATTTTATTTCCAAAGCAATGTTTTCCCAAGAGAAAAACAAAATTTCCTGTAAACGTATGTGTTCTAAGAACCTTCACAGCCCTTATACATGAGAGACAACTTGGAATCATCCAAGACTAGCTCAAATCTCTTAGATACAAGATGATATTGGGAAATGCATCCTTAGACAGAATCCCTTTAGTCTGGGAGCCTATGGTTATTAACTTAGGGTTGTTCATTTGTGAGAGACCTGGAAAGTATACATGGGTATGAGATATTTGTAGGATGTAGGTATACCACCGCCGGGTTCTCATAACAGACTTGTGAGGTCAGCCTCGTTCTTTTCTCTCCCGATCCTTGACATTATTATACGTTGTCATACTGACTCTTCACGTGAGTGGCAATAATAGTTTTATATAGGGTTTTGTGATTGTAAATGCAGTTTTACATATTTTTTGTCTTTCACCCTTACATTATCCCTGTGAAGTAAGCAGAGTAGGAGTTGTTCCCATTTTCCAGATAAGAAAGCTGAGTTCCAGAAGGAATATGACAAGAATTGAATATTATTATATATTTAAAAAGTATGCAAAAATACATTGGATTTAAAAATACAATCCAAATGAAAGATTTTTCCCACTTCTTATTATAATTACTCTCATTATTTCATGGCTAATGATAATGTGATTGAAATTGAAACCCAGATCTTCCAGTCTCAGTGTGGTGAGTTTACCACACAACAAAACAGGTTTAAAAATTCTCTTCCCATGTTTGCAGAATATAACTAAAGTAATAAAACAGTCATTTGAAAAATAAAATAACTTTTCATTAGGCCAAATTTATGGGCAATACTACAAAAATCATAGGTGTTTAAATGAAAATATTTGTACTCTATAAATGTAGATGGTTGGGTTCTATTTCTATAAAAATGCCATTGGAATTTTGATGAGGATTGCATTGAATGAATAGATTGCTTTGGATAGTATGGGCATTTTAACAATATTAAACCTTCCAATCTATAAACATGGGATGTCATTCCATTTGTTTGTGTTTTGTTTGATTTCTTTCATCAATGTTTTGTAGTTTTCACTATGCAAATCTTTCATCTTCTTAAGTTTATTCCTGGAATTTTATCCTTTTTTGCTGCAGTGGTAAATGGGATTGTTGTCTTAATTTCTTTTCTGGATAGTTCATTGTTAGTATATAGAAACACAAGTAATTTTTATGTTGGTTTTGTATCCTGCAACTTTGCTGAAATCATTTCTTAGTTCTAACAGCTTTTTTGGTAGAATATTTAGGGGTTTCTCATATTTAGGATGGTATCATCTATGAAAAGAGATAATTTTATGTTTTTCCTTCCAATTTGTATGCCTTTTATTTCTTTCTCTAGCCTAACTACTCTGGCTAGGACTTCAACACTAAGTTGAGTAGAAATGGTGAGATCTTAGAGGAAAAGCTTCCCATTTTCTACCATTGAGTATGGTAATGGGGAAAGAATTGTCTTTTCAATAAATGGTGCTGGAAAAACTGGCTATCCACATGCAAAAGAATGGACTTAGATGCTTACATCATACATAAAAATGAACTCAAATGGATTAAAATGTAAACCTAAAACCCCAAACCGTAAAACTCCTAGAATAAAACAGGGGGAAAGCTTCGTGACATTGGTCTTGGCGTGATTTTATGGATATGGCATCAGAAAGCACAGGCACCAAAAACAGAATAAGGAATTTTAACACAGAGAAGGGGCGGAACTTAGTTACATACTTGCCCACTGATGCTTTGCTTATAATTAGCAGCTTTCATTAAAAGGTCTGGCCTTCAGCAGCATTATCTCATTAATCCTTGTAAACTCTCCTGAGGGGAGGCGGATGTAAAATGTTACAGACTCAGTTTTAGAGAGGAGTGGAGCAAGATCAAAAGAAATTTACCCCATCAAACTGAAAAGCTTCTGCACAGTAAATGATCCACAGAGTGAAAAGGCAACCTAAGGAATAAAAGAAAATATCTGCAAATCAAATATCTAATAAGGAGTTAAGGTCCAAAATAGATAAAGAACTCCTCTAACTCTAGTTTAAAAACTAATAACTGAGTTAGGAAATAAGCCAGGAACTTGACTAGACATTTCTTCAAAAAAAGACATTCAAGTGGCCAGCAGATATGTGTAAAATACTCAAAGTCACTTACCATCAGGGAAATGCAAATCAAAACCACCCTATCACCTCACATCTCTCATATATATGTGTGTGTGTGTGTGTGTGTGTGTGTGTGTGTGTGTGTGTGTGTATATATATTTTTTTTACAAGTTCTGGTGAAAATGTGAAGGGATTGGAACCCTCCACACCACTGATGGGAATTCAAAATGGTGTAGCCCCTGTGGAGAAGTTTGAAAGTTACTCAGAAATTAAATATAGAATTGCCTTAAGGCCTGCCGGCCCTGCTTCTGGGTATTTGTCCCCCCAAAATTGAAACCAGGATCTTGAAGAGATTTTAGCATCCTTATATTCATTGCATCACTGTTCACAATAGCCAAGATGTGGAAAACACCTAAAAGGCCATTGACAGATGACTAGATTAAAAAAATGTAGTTATATACATAGAAGGGAATACTATACTGTCTTAAAAAAAAAAAAAGCCGGGGAGGGGGTTAAATTTTGCAATGTGGAACAACATGGTTGAAGCCAGACACAGAAGGACAAATACTGCATGATTCCACTTAGGTGAAGTATCTAAAATATTCAAATTCATAGAATCAAAGAGGGGCACGGTGGTGCCAGGGGCTGGAGGAGGAGGAAGTGGGAAGTTACTAATCAATGCGCATAAAATGTCAGTCAAGCAAGATGAACGAGCTCTAGAGGTCTGTGGAACAACATTTTATCTGTAGTCAACAATAATATATTGTACACTTATAAATGTATTAAGAGGGTAGATCTCATGCTAAGTGTTCTTATTCCAATTTTTAAAAAGCTTAAAAGAAACAGCTCTGTTTGATATAAAACTAACATGTACAACATTCACTTTCCAAATGTTTCCTTTAAACTTTTTTGTTTCTGATGTCTTGTCAATTTCTATCTGTTCTTTTGTCTTCAACAAACTGGGAAAAAATCCACTTCCGCCTCCTATGCAAGAGTCCTTATCAATGAAGAGATTATTTTATCACCCTTACCCTTGTCTTGTGCAGAGGAGTTGACCCCTGGCCTTTGCAGTTTCTTTCAAGGGCCCAATTTTCTCCCTCTTAACCATTTTCACTTCTACAGCAAAACGTTTTCTTACATGTGGGAATGATGTCACCCAATTCAGAAGCACTTTAACACAGAGGAAGGGGCAGAACTTAGTTACATACTCGCCCACTGATGCTTTGCTTATAATTAGCAGCTTTCATTAAAAGGTCTGGCCTTCGACAGCATTATCTCATTAATCCTTGTAAACTATCCTGAGGGGAGGCAGATGTAAAATGTTACAGAGTCAGTTTTAGAGAGGAGTGGAGCAAGGGCAGAAGAAATTTACCACAGTCATAAGCCCATGGAGCATTGCAGGGTCAGGAATGAAACCTAATTTTGTTGGGCTGCACCCTCAGACCATGCCCTTATACAGAACATCATCCTCACACTCACTTACTCAGCATCTTAACAATTAGCTTTAGGCCCCAAATTGCGCCATCTAGTGGTCTTTAAAGAAATTCCATGGCAGAGGCCAAATCATTGCTCAAAAAAAGTCTGTAATCAGGCCTTATATTTTATGTGAAAAAGAGATGACAGGCTAATTCTAAAATCACATTCCTGCAACACCAAAGTGTATCTATTTTTAAAATATGATTTTGTGGTGATTGGCCCAGCGTACTTCAAACTTTAAGACATATAATTTATAAAAATTGCCAGCAGCATTGTAACATGATATTGAAAAATTTTAATAACGCAGTGTCTTTCTTTAGAAAAGCTCAAAGTACTTGTCACTTTTTGTTTCTTTCTCTTACAAGAGTCTTGTGAAGTACAAACAGTATCTATCATTAGCCACATTTGACTGATGATGTAATTCAGACTTAGGATGATGTCACCACAGTAACATAGTCATAAAAGCCAGTTTAGAATTTAATTTTTCTGAAAAAAAAAGAGAGGGAAGCAAACCATAAGAGACTCTTAAAGATAGAAAACAAACTGAGGGTTGATGGAGGGAGGTGGGGGTGGGTGGGTTAGATGAGTGATGGGGATGAAGAAGGGCACTTGTGATGAGCACTGGGTGTTGTATTCTGAATCACTGAATTCTACTCCTGAAACCAGTATGGCACGGTGTGTTAACTAACTAGAATTTAAATGAAATTTTGAAAATAAAAAAGAATTTAATTTATCTGATCTTAGTCTAGTGCTTTTCCCAAAAATTAATTGTTTTTTAGAAATGTACCTGTGAAGATTTTCTCCTGTTATGACCGTCCTGAGGACACTAAAAATGTGGAATTTTCAGTAGAGTTAACACAGCTGATTTTAGTTGTAGTGATGGAACAGTTGAGAGTTTAAATGTAATCTAACAGGCATAAGTCTCTCAGTTTTTATGAAAGCAAGTCAAAAATACAGTTGTACCTCACTCTGGTCTAAGGTCTAAAGCACATCTCCTTAGTTACACAAAAATATATT